ATGATTAAGGATGGTGAGCATTTTTTCATATATCTGTAGGCTGCACACCTATCTTTTTTGGTGAAATTCTTCTTCAAGTCCTTTGCCCACCCTGCGATGGGATCACTTGTTCTTTTCTTGCTAATACGTTTGAGTTCTCTATGGATTCTCACACTACCAGACCTCAGACTATACTATAAATCAATAGTGATCAAAACGACATGGTACTGGCACAAAAACAGAGAGGTAGATGTATGGAACAGAATAGAGAACCAAGAGATGAATCCAGCTACTTACAGATACCTGATCTTTGACAAGCCAATTAAAAACATTGAGTGGGGAAAAGATTCTCTATTTGGTGCTGGGCAAACTGGCTGGTTAGAAAACTGAAACTGGACCCACACCTTTCACCATTAGCTAAGATAGACTCTCACTGGATTAAAGATTTAAATTTAAGACATGAAACCATAAAAATATTAGAAGAAAGTGTAGGGAAAACACTTGAAGAAATCGGCCTGGGTGAAAATTTTATGAGGAGGACCCCCTTGGGAAATTGAAGCAATGTCAAAAATACACTATTGGAATCTGATCAAACTAAAAAGCTTCTGCACAGCCAAGAACATAGTAAGTAAAGCAAGTAGACAGCACTCAGAATGGAAGAAGATATTTGCAGATTATGTCTCCGACAAAGAGTCTGTAATTTCTGAGAAGGGACAGTTAGAGGGCTGTATTTATGATGGTGCCACTGCCCTTATCTGCATATCTTAAACAAAAAAGTAGTTTCCTTATGTTTCATCACTGACTGAGTCTATAGTAAATCAGAATTACTCATGGCAAAATTAAAAGCCAATATTTCTCAAGTAAATGCAAAATATTGTTCATTGTAACTGAAACATTCCCACATCAGACAAGATGTGTCCTTTGTGCATGGGAACTGTCTTATGTTTTCAACTGATCTGGTTTGAGATATTCTATTTGAAAATAGTAAATAAAGTCATAGTTTGCAGCAATTTCTGGGCACCTGCCTCTGCCTTTGTTCCTCCAGTGAGCAAAGCCAAAATGGACTTTAACAGAACATTTATTTCAGTTCTCACTTTTGTTTTTACTCCTAATTCTCACTCATATTTTTTTGTTTCCTCAGTTTCTTCCTGTTTTTTTGTTTTTTGGGTTTGGTTTTTTTTTTTTTTTTGGTGCCATAAATTTTCTTGGCAGGTTGTTTTTCAAAGTACACACACATCAATATAAACATGTTATTAGCATGTACTTTGTTATGTGATATATGAAAAAAAATCATACAAATCCAGAGTTTACAAAAATTGTGGTTATAGCCTAGCAGGGGGAAAAAAGGAGATGTGAGTAAATAAACTAAGATGATTGCAAAACAAACAAAATATCATCTTCATGAAGAAAGAAATAATTACACAGAATTTGGAAATTGTTACTGTAGATGCTATTAGCTCCAAGAAAACTCATAGTTCTTCGATGCAAAGTTGAATCCTTCTTGGCAGAAATGGAGTTTATGAAAGTTATAGAAGGTCATTAAAAACAATAAAGTTAATTCTGGAGGCACATATTTTGGTGAAATGAACTGTGTTACATGTGAAATACTCAGCAAAATGTAGATTGAATTATGGATTTATAAGGCGAATAACTTTAAAGACTTTTCTGAAATGACAATCTTGCCTAAAATTCTATAGATATTCTGGTCAAATAAAAAATTACTTATATAATTGGGTAAAACATTTGCATGTTCATATTAATTTATAGTAATTTTTATCTAAAAATTACTCAAAAAATAAATCTAAGGATTATTTTTATAGTAGCAATTTTGTCACATTTTAAACCTCCTTGATATAACTGTGATTATATAGGAAGGTGTATTTTTAAGTTTAAATGCACAGAGAATTTTTATAACATTTTTGGTTATGTTTGAATCAATTATAATGAACTTGTATAGAATGTAAATGTAAAATACATTTATTACTATGATTCTGAAAGAAACTATAATTTCTCTAGCTAATTTTTCCAGGCTTGGTAAATTCATCAATACCGTTGATTGCACTGGTCATTGATTATGATAGACGTTAGTCAATGATGCTTCATCTTTAGAGAAGTGGTCTGGTCCCTAACTTCATATACTTCGGTTTAAATCTTGTTCTTTTCAGAAAAATATATACCCACATGTAACTGAAGTTTTGCATATATTTTCAGCATATTGATAATCTTTTTGAAGTCCCCCCCTTAAAACATTATACTACTTCTACTAGTATTGTGGCTACCACTGCTGCTGTTCCTACTGCCCCTGATCCATTAGCTACCATATTCTGGGCCTTTGTAGGGGCATAATCAGATGATCTCCTTTAAGACCTGTTAAAAATCTTCCCAGGAAGTATCAATGCCATGTGCCTGTGTGTGTCTGTGAGCCTATCAATCCAGCAATATACAATATACTGTATGCACATGTTTCCTAGAGAGGAAGAAGTGAGGGCATCTAATTTTCTGAAAATTAGAGTCTTCACAGTTACGATTCCAGGTTCCTCGGAGGATAAAGAGGCAAATGGTACTTCAAATTGTTTTATGCATATGCTCATTACCCTGATGAGATTTCATCCCCAAAGCACCACATACCGTTGTGCTAGTGACATAACCATTCACATCTCACTCTGACTGCAGCTTTCCACAACCTGTGGGACCACTCCCATGGGATCATGTGGGTCGCAGAGAAGCTCTGAAATAACATGTAATGGCATTGATTTTCCCAGCACAATCCGTTTTGTAGAGTAGGCTCTTTCCACTCAAAGCAAGCGCGATTTAACTGCTGGAGAATGAAATGATGAATGACTCTGAGCATGTCTCCCTTCTAGCGGTGCCGTGCCCCAGTGTGGAAGCTCAGCTCTCAGAACACGTCATCTGGAGACTGGTTTCGGGCTCTCTGAATGAGTACGGAGCTCAAGTGCTCCTGAGCTGCAGTCCGGGTTACTACTTAGAGGGCCAAAGACTCATTCAGTGCCAAGCTAACGGGACGTGGAGCGTGGAGGACGAGAGGCCAAGCTGCAAGGGTGAGTGACAAGCTACAAACTCCTGGGCGCTCAGTTACTGAGTTACTCATGTCAGTGGCATCCCCCTTCCATGGCATTATAATCTATTATTGTTCTATAGATCAAAAAGAGTCCTATGGACCAAAAGGCATATGGAATATATTTTCATTTCAATAACATATATAACATACTTAAAACATATGACTTCTGGATTAAAAGTTACATGTTGCCTTTTCTTTGCTAATGACTATATTTTATGAACTTTAAAGTATGAGAATACTCAAAAATTTCAAATCAGCTCAAAAACAAAGCAGGCCTACATTTAAAAAGATAACACTTATTCCATACCCTGGCTATTCAGAAGTTCTAATTAGGATCTCAGGGAATAGTATTTATGCAAAAGATACTGTGTTCTCGAATAATGACTATCTTGAAAAGGAGGATGATTATTCTCTTCGGTACAAGATAAGCAGTTAAGGCTTTGAGTGGATTTTATAATAAATATGAATAAATAGAAAAATAAAACAATACAAGTATTGTTCCAAGCACTATTTGATTCAGACAGACTTAATAATGCAATCTCTAGTTGATTGTTCACAGGAAATTATCATGCCTGGAAACAAGTAGTTAGACCTGTGTGTAATTCGCAAAACACATGGCTTAGTAAGAATAAACCAGAATTTTAAAAAGGAAAAAGACAAAAATAATGAATGCTTAGCTACCGTTGATAATAATTTTAATTTGACTTTTAAAAGAACAAATGTTAATTAAACACATACTACAGACTCTTCACCTGGATTGCAAAGATCAGTTAGGAGAGAGGGATAGCTAACCTCAGGAAATTCAAAGTCTTTTTTCTTGTTTCATTTCTTTCTTGCGTGATTTTGTTTCTGTTTGAAAAGTAAGAAAAGTGTTTATTGCAGAAATGCATGCATCAGAACAGATTGTCTTTGCATTTTAAATTTTATACACATACACACATACACGGGCCTAGAGATTCTGGACTGTACCCCTTTCCTAAATGCTAATTTTTTTTTCACTATTTTTTCCTTTTGTTACATCATATATACATAGGTCATGAATACATTTATGCCTGTGTGGGATTCCATGTGTTGATTATTTGCACAAATTGGAGTGCTTACTGTTGTTGTGTGTTCCTTGGAGCTTCTGATCCGGTGACTCAGGGGAAAGAACTGCAGACAGAATGAATCTTCAAGGGAGACCGGGACTCGCTCTGGTCGGCGGCCCCGCTAAACTTTACTGATTATCTTATATACTTTCCAACATTTACTAAGAATTTAACACATATACAAAGAAGTCAAGTACCATGAAGAAGCAACCATTTAAGATTACAATTTAGTGTGAAGGCTGAGGAACGCATATACAATTAATTTTGTTTAGAGTAAAACATTTTGAAGCCTGGCTGTAGGTCCTCGCTCGCCCAAGGTAAAGTTACACATTATAATGCTAATGAAGGAGGAAGGCAGAGAATAGAACCCAATGCTCCAAGACCTGTCTGTCCATCCTCCAGCTAACACCTCGGCTATTTCTCCACACCCCCTAGGGATAGTCACTCTATGCATTCCTGCACATTAAAAGGCAGGTGTAGAAGCTCAGATCCTCAAGGAAATGCTTCTCAGAAATAGTCTCCTAAGGGAGCACGTTGAGGCGAACTGCCATATCTTGAGCAAAGGGATCCTATCTCCTACAGCTTACATCCAACTAATTAACATAGCTCTCACCCCATTTACTTAATCACTATGTTAAGACATTTGTGTTCTTTCTATACTTGGCAGATTTGACTTGTACCCTTGCAATATGCTCCATACTAAATGCTAATTTAAAGTGTTCTTAAATTAGGCCTCAGTCACCTTGTGAAGTGGGTGGGTTGGTCCTGATTGTTGGTAGAGCTATGGCTGGACTGGTCGTTACCTGTATGGGCGCGTGTATCCATCAGCAGGGGTTTGACTGGGTAAGCTGCAGAATGGAATTCTCATTCCATTCCATTGTTGCGGTAGACAGAAAACATCACTCAGAACATCCTATGGTTGAATTTTCTTTATAAGGTGCCCAGCTAACATCTGATAACTCTAGGGGCCAGCCCATTGTCCCAGAGGGAGCCAATTTCATGTTTGAACATTTTAGCTTTGAGTGAGGCCTTCTTTTTGACTTATATCTGGTTACTGAGCTGAGCTCTCTCCCTCTAGACCCAATAAAATAATCCCAGACCCTGGTCTACACAGCAGGCCTTCATGTACTTAAAAGTGGCCCCTGTGAGTCTCCCTGGTAAAGAGCCCCACCCCCTCACACTCTCCACGCCAGCCAGCTGTTGACTGCCCCGATGGTCTGCAGGTCACTGGGCTTTTTTCTGGAAAGTACACATTTGAAAGTGTGTACTTGAGTGTGAAAGTTGTGAGCTTATTCCTACTGATCACACTTACAAATAAAATCTCTATCTTGGATAGAGAGGCTGTTTTTACAAATATGAGAAATGATGTGTACATTGAATTCTTTGTTAAAATAGAGCAAATTTCAACATGAATGGTAGAATTGAAAGAAAGAGAAAAAGGAGTTTTTCCTGAGGGAAGGAAGGCCAATGGCTGGTAACCCACAGTCATGGACGACACGTGTGAGCACAGCATCCTTGTGGACGTGGCCAGCAGAGTGTCTTCTGAGTGTGAAGACCCACCCTGAGAGTTCAGAAAAGCCACTTTGCATTGGGAATATTAGTGCATTTTTAATAGAATTGGAAAAAATGCAAGCAATAAATTGATTTTTAGAAACTTGTGAGAGGAGAGAATAATGTGGGAATAAGGCTTTCTCTTGAATGGCTGACCGGGGTTGTGTTGGTGGCAGGGGTGATCCCATGAAGTTAGGCTGTTGGGTAACTACCAAAGGAAATGCCAGGCCTGTAACCCATTACCCGGTTGCTGAAACATTTTACTCCATTAGCCCTTTATAATTCAGTAAAACTTATTAGAGGAAAAGCTTAAAATAGTTTTGTCACCAGAATATTTTTAACAGTGGCTTAGAGAATAGAGCCATGCACAAAAGCAGAGGGAGGCTTCTCAGCGTCTGCCGCTTGAGGGGAGTTGAGACCTCCAGGAGGAATTGTGCTCAGAGCTCATTGTTATTTCATGCTTTTCTGACAAGCGCTGAAGTTTTAAGACAAGATCCAATTATCTTAAATGGCTACAAATGGATCTTTAAATATCATAGTTCAAGGTGAAGTTCACACTATGTTTGAAAAAAAGCTTAATGAAAAGTTCATGACAAATTGTAAAAATCTAAGACCGACTCGAATTCATTGACATTTGGTATAGCAAACATGTTGGTAATATTACCAAATGCATGAGCTATGACACTATAATAGTTTAACAGTCCCCCAACTAATAAATCATGAAGGCTCTTTCAACAACAGCAAAGTTCTGATTGTGATGTACTCTCCAGCTGAACCTCCAGATTTCTTGTGAGTCACCAGCCCTAGGACTCAGCCTGGTTGGTTCTGTCCATTTGAAACTGAGCCTGTATTGCCCATCTTAGAGAAAAATCAGCTTAACTAAATGGGATGATTACATACATAAAATGTTTTCCTCACTTAAATTATCTTTGAAGGTTTTTGTACTTTTTATTCATTTCATTTACTAGGTCTTGATTTGTTACTAACACTGATTGAGCCTGATTACATGCCAGCCATGGCTTTACACACTTGCACTGTCCGCTGTCTGAGTCCAGTGTGCAACCTCATAAGGCAGCTGCTATATCAACCCCTAACAGGGCCTGGTGACCTTTAGGAAACTGGCCAGACCAGCTAGTACTTGGCAGAATTGGGCCTAACACTGGGTAGTCCACAGGCAGAATCCATGTTTTTCATCACTGTATTTTTTTTAAAATAATTAATTATTTGTTATTAAATCATAACTTTGTATATTGATGCATTTATGGGGTTCAGGGTACTGCTTTGATATACAATGTGAAATGTTTACATTGAACCACATAACACATCCATCACAATTATACTCACTTCTTAATCATTTTGAAATGTACCATTGCATCATGCACATTAGGTGAGGTCTCCCAAATACCCTCCCTTCTCCCACATCCCCCCTCCCCACCTCTCTCTCTCCTCTTCCCTTCTACTTTATGGACTATAGTTATGTTTTGCCATTCGTATGATTGTGTAGTAGTATATTGATTTCATAGTAGTATCGAGTACGTTGGATACTTTTTTTTGCCATTCTTAGGATACTTTACTAAGACTCGGGAGTTGTTGCCACCTGCCAGCTTTGCCCCCAGCACTTGTCAAGCTGGAACGCATTGAGCACTGTTCACATTTCACTTCGAGTCGTTTCCCAAAGGCTTTCATTCTTACCAATTCAAAACACACGTAAGCCTCGGATGAGGGGGTGGCCCTGATGGCTTCCTCCTCTGCAGCCCTGAGGTGTTCTGCTCTTGAACATTTGTAGATTTGAAGTGTAGAGATTTCAGTGGAGGGTGACCAGTAGTCTGTCTCCTGGACAGGAGTATGTCTATGGGCGGGAAGGGACATGATCAACTGTTGTGCCAGGACCACAGTGGGAGCATGGTGTACAGCGTCACCCAACCCACAGCCACTTAAAGTCTAGTTTGTATGCATAGATTTTAATTTTCTGAAGGCCTGTGTCCTTTTGATCAGCAACTTATGCAAGGAACTAAAAGAACAAAGTTGTTCAACTCTACTACTGCCCAGATTGTAACGCCACCTTACTTCGTCCGGGTTAATTGATTTTGATATGGTCAGCTCCCTTTCCTCCATTTCCAGTGGTTCCACACAAACATCCACTAACGATTATGCCATTCTTGGGATTGATAAGAACATAAAAGTAGACAGACCACCAACTGATCCCACAGATAGGCTTGTAGCTCAGTATGTTTGCTCTGTATTTTCTCAAGAAAGTTTTAGCCACTTATGAGCAGGAAGATAGAACATTAATAGGGACTTGAAAGGATGTAGAATATTTTGGAATCTAATCTAAGCATTTAAGTTTTCATTTCAAGGATATAAGAGAGGAAAATTAAACTTCCTAGATGATCATTCCATCCAGTCCTATGCAGACATCCCTGGTTCATGTTTCTGATGAAAACTAACACTAAAGTTTGGCTCCTTTTTTTTTTAAACATAAGAATAATCTGAAAATATTGAGATCTGAAATGATATTCACTATTTTTTTCTCTTCTAGTTATCTCATGTGGGAGCCTGCCTTTTCCCCCAAACGGTAACAAGATTGGGACGTTGAAGGTCTACGGAGCCACGGCAATATTTACATGTAACACGGGCTACACACTGGTGGGCTCCCACGTACGGGAGTGCTTAGCCAACGGGCTCTGGAGCGGGATGGAAACTCGGTGTCTGGGTAAATAAATCCCTGTTCTGCTACTTAGTTAATTCAAATAAAATTCAAAGACTAGATTATAACGGTCACATCTACTATAAGTGTTGTAATAGAGTGCTACTAAGTCCTACCTGCGGTTTTAATTGTGCTTCAGAATATGATTCTTCTGTAAGTATCTAAAGGGATTTTATTTGTAATCTGAGCAATAAATGAAGGGCATATATTGCTATGAGTGTCATAAAGACTGTTTGACAGAGTGCAGAGAATATAACTACACTCAAATGCACTCAAAAGTGAATTTCAAAAATACTACACATTTTATCTTTCTAAGACGTTAAAAATTATGTCAACAAATTCAATGACATTAATCAAAATCAATGTAAGCACAATGAGTTGTTCAGAAGGGAATGCGTCTGCAATAATTTGCCCTTCCTTTTCCCAAGGTGAAAATATTGTGTATGAGAATTTAAAAGATGGGTTAAAATATGTTTTGAAGAAATACATGAATATTTTTAAACAAACAGTTTAAAGTGTAGTAATCACTAAAGGGTGGTTTACTACAGGTTTAGCATCCGTTTGTAAAATACCTTTGCGGACTCTAGTTCTTTTGAATCTTTTCTGTGATTATCCATCATGTTGTAATCATGCGAAGCCACAGGGGGCCAGGGTTTAATCTTCTTTTTTTTAATTTTTTTTATTAAATGATAGCTGTATACATTAATGCAAACATGGGGTACAGTGTTTTCATATACAATTTGAAATACTTTCATCAAGTTGGTTAACATAGACTTCATGTCATTTGCTTAGTCATTATGTCAAAACATTTATATTCTAGTTCTAGAAAAGTTCACTTGTACCCTTGTTAGACAGACCATATAGGTGATCTTTCCAGTCACCCTCCCACCACCCAGCTGCCCTTCCCCCCTCCCCTTGTTCACCCCCTCCCCATATTCTTGGGCTAGAATTGGGTTGTAGCTTTCATTTGAGAGCTATAAATTAGTTTCATAAAAGGGCTACGTACATTGGATACTTTTTCCTGTGATACTTTGCTAAGGAGAACATTTTCCAGTTCCATCCATGTGAACATGAAGGAGGTAAATGGAGGCTTTACCTCCTTCATGTTTAATCTGCTGAATCTTAACGAGCTAGGTTCCCGAGCTAAGCCAAACCAAGATCAGGAAACTTTGAATAGTAGAATCTGTTCATCTTTTTCTTTGGAAGAACTTGAAGACAGGGAGTGAAAGTAAAATTATAACCACAGAGAAAATCACCCACTAAAAGAAGCTTCTCACACCTAGCCACAAAAGGGAGCCCTTACATGTGGGTTGCTTCAACGCATTCTCTCTGTCTATATGTATATGCATGTAATATTGTTTTATTATTTAATATATTTAATGTATTATATCATATATTATTGAACACACACATATATATTATTGCTGATGTAGTTATTATCATTTTTAGTAGGCTACAGAAATTCCTGCAATACTTCATGTAGAGAGTCACAGGTGCTTCTGAGGTTTTTTATGCGTTCCAAATGTTCATAGGAAATTGGTCATTCACTGAGTGGCTCTCTCCTGTAGGCAGCTTTGGTGTGGACCAGAGCCTCTTTGTCAGTGTCAGTGGAACTTGTCACTATAGAAGGGAACCAGGTGATCCAAGATACTTACATCTCTAAGAGTAACTGCTAGGATGGAAATTAATAACAACTTATGTTTGATTACTGTTGCCCTGGCTACAAGCACATCCCTGAGCCCATCTTCTTGGTCTTTAACAATGCAGGACACAGCAATGGCTATTGTTGGAGCATGGGGGGAGGGGGCTTAAGTGGCACATTCAGTTTATGCAACTGTTAATTCATAGCTCACACAAGTCTTACTGATCCCCACTAAGCCCTTTCCTATCCTATCCTATACTTTGAAGTATAAAGGATGAGATGTATATTGAAGAGTTGGATGTCTGGAGATGCCCCAGACCTTGCTTCAATGGCATGTAATACCTCTTAGAAGTGTTTGTAAGATGAGTTGGTCAGAAATGAGTCCATTTGCTCAAAAGAAAATTAACTGAAAATTAGGAGGAAGAGGAATGCCCTGATTACAATTCATAAAACATTAGTATCAGAGGAATTACATACAGAATGTGAGGAATAATACAATGGTGAGAGGTGCAGAGTATTTATAAAAATAGAGAAGGATTAGAAGTCACACAAAGCCAGATATGTGTACATGTTAATGGGTAATACATTTAGTGTAAAGATTTTAAGTATGATTTCACAGCGGCCACTGAGACAGGAAGGGTTAAGAGTCTTAATATATGGAGCACACTAATGAATTCCATCCCTTTATCAGAGAGACAGTTTGTTGGGGCAGTACGTTTAGCCCGGCAAGAACAGGTGTCCTTGGGAAACCAGGGGTCTGTGAGATGTAGGGAAGATGGGCAGAAGAGCAGAGGTGACATCATTGCTGGGAAAAAACGGTAAGTCTCAGGCAGAGGAATGGAGGGGTGGTGCCCATCCTCAATCTGGCCTGGATCTTTAGTGGAATAGAAATTAGATAGCTCCATAATCCAAATATTAGCTGCCTGAGTTACAGACAATAATCATGAATGATATTATTTATCGATGACTTTAAAAATTTACATTTTTGAGATTTATCTCATTGAATCCTCATTAGAACATGGGGTAAGTGCTTATTAATTCCATTTCCAGATAAGAAAAGAAGCATAGAGAAGTGAGGAACTTGTTCAACATTTTAAATCAATAAATATCAAAAGCAGCATTTACATCTGAGCTGTTTGATTACACAGCACAGACTTTATAACATTAGGGTACATAACTCACATAACTGAGTAAAGTTTATGCTCCTTTGCCAATGTTCTCTCTCAGATGGAAGGTGTAAGATGAGACAGTTGTACCCAGGAGTGAAACAAGTGGGTGACACTACTGTGTTACCCTGGACCCAAGGCAGGCGCCATACCTGGGCCTCAGTGCTGGGCTGCTCAGCTGACTTTGCCCTGTTTGCTGTGATGTCCCCGGGATGCTTATATGCTCTTGTTTATCAATCTTGCCATTATTTTTTGTTTCATTTCTTAATTTGTCATTTGTATTAATCCTTTGCCTGTTTCCATTGTTAATGACCCACTTGGAAATACCTCTGGATTTCTATTAAACTCTATGACCTTGGGTAACCTTCAGGCTTAGCTCAGCCTTTAGGGAGTGAACTAGATAGTCACCATGGGAAATGGCTTATACTAATGATGGAGCCAGTGGTGAAGATATATCTTTGGGGAGGTTTTTGTTCTTGTTGTTTTATTATTTAAGATTCATAGAGGGTACAAAGAATTAGTTGACACTGATTGCATTTGTTAGACAACTTCCCTCTTATAGTTGTGTCCTGCCCCCAAGAGGTGTGCCATACACTGTGACCTCCCATCCCCTCCTCCTCCATTCTCCCCGCTCCCTCATCCCCCACCCCCCCACCTTGTATTAGCTCATCCACTGCCTTCGCATCAGAATTGAGTACACTGGATTCTTGCCTCTCCATTCTTGTGAAGTTTTACTAAGAAGAATGTGTTCCAACTCCATCCGGATAATACAAAGATGTAAATCTGAAAACAATCTATATAATCCCATGGCTTCAATTCTAAATCCCATGGCCTGTCAGCAAAAGGAAACAATAACCCAGAAACCCATGACTCTGAAAAACAAATCATCCCACTGAGATAGTGATGGGGAATTACTCAGACAAAGACCAAAAGTTTATACCGAATTATCCGTAAGAAATTCAATTTGCAAGCAAATCACCTGTCCCCAGGACATGTCCAGGAGAATGAAAAAATCCACCATTAGCTGAGAACAATGTGAAGGGTTCAGACCCATAAATTGCTGTGTAATTTAGATTTGAATAAGAACCAAATTCATGCGCTATGATCATGGATGACAGAAATGAACCAAAGCAGAAGAATTCAACTTCCTCAGTTTTGCTTTTGTGTCAAAAAGCATTATTATGGCAACCACAAAGATTATAACATTTATCAGAAATGGGTACCCCCAGAAAGATGAGGAGTTTATAAAAATTAGTCCCCTGTCTAATTGTGTAAGCACCAGCGGAGGGGACTCAGAAACACACTGCTGACCTCTTGGCAGTGTTCTTGAGCTACACGGATACCTAGTGTGGCTTTTCACACAATGAGAAAAGAAGTTAGCTCTCAAAAACTGTGAATTAATTTGAGGTTTTATGGAGCAGAAACTCAAACATAGTCTTTGTAAGTAAATTTGGGAGTATGTGTTCATAAAGAACTAGTGTGTTTTTCGTAGGACAATGTGGGAGTCTGGATCCAGGTTTGTGTTTGATTGGCCGTGGAATGGCTATTTGGGAACAGTCCTTAGGAATGGCATTCCTGAATCTTCCCTCTCTATTCCTATCTTTGATTAGGGCATAACACTACTAGGAGCTGAAATAGTGAGCATAACATTAGATGATGGATTCAGGAACTTAAATTTTAATAATAGGCTAAACACATAGTAAAATAATAGGAATCAATGTAAAATTTCCCTCTAGGTAATTAAATAAAATAATTTCAAATAGTAAGATGAGAAGAAAATTCTGAAATTATAGCGTATCATCACAAAGAAATTTTGGATAAGTGAAGACTCACATGTTACTCCAGAATGGTCTAGACTCCCCTTTTCCCTCATTACAAACATCCGCCCCACTCTCTGCTCGCCAGGGCCCCACACCCAGAGTCATGACTTCAGTTCTATAAAATAGTTGAGACTCACTTTTGAGGACTTGGTCTTCACCTGTGGGGAAGGATCTGGTAACCAAAATCCTTGAACAATATTTGAAAAATTTTGCTACTAGTTTGGCTAAAAGAAAAGTTAGGAAGGGATTAATAGCTACTTTCAAATATTTAAAAAGCTATTGGATGAGAGATGGACTAAGCCAATTGTGGAAAGTTGTTTTCCATGTCAAAGCCAGGCCTCACTGGCAGGCAGACTGGCCACGAAGCCTGCGCTGAGA